GGAGAGATTTCTAATGTAGAGAGATATTAGAGAGAGAGATTTCACACACTTGGAGCGATTAGGGAGAGATTTGACATAGACAGAGATAGAGTGAAAACGATTGAGAGAGGATCCATGTGTGACAATTGTGAGTGTCCGGCATCGCAATGCATGGTTCGTAAACCCTGTTAAGCCTTGTTTAAGGATCTTACACATTCCCGATGAGTATGCATCATTGTTTTAACAGTTTGGCTTGCCACGTACTATAATTTTTAGGTTAAAGAGGTCTAGTTGTACGTACTTTTCGATTCATGTTTTCTTATTAGAATAGTGGGTTGTTTAGTAAATACTGAACGTAAGTCCAAGTATACAAGGGTTAGTTGAGCTGACCGGTTTGACTCGTTGACTTTATTTGACTTTGAATTGACCAGAATTTGACGGTTGTCACAATCTAACACAATTACGAGAGAGTTTGTTTAAGATATCCATGATTTGAGTGGAAATAAGTGAGATAATCATAAAGAGAATGGATTATGCTTACCAAATGTGGAGGAAAAACTCAAGATCAGCCATTGAATCTCGAATTTCTAGATAGAGAAAGTGAGAGAGGAAAGAATTTGATCTTCTTGTGAAATGAGAGCAAATGAGAGAAGTGAGGAGAGAGGATGAATATTCAGCTCTCAAAAACGTGGGAAAGAGTGATAATTGAGTGGAAAGGACATTGATGTGACCTAGATAAGGTGGGGAGGTGTGGCTGGTCATAGAGTGGGTGTGGGAGTGGTTGCTTGTGTTATAAGGTAAAGCAAAGTCAACACTCCACCTCTTTGTACTTTACCCACTTGCTTTCATTATTTAAATAAAGATTTTTATGAAAATATGATTAAATTGTGAATATTTAGGGTTTATTATGTTAAAATATGATTTTGGGTGAAATTCCCACGTTAAAATAATTAAAAACGGGCCTTAAACGCAAAACTACGCGAAAACCGGGAGAAAATGAGTTCCCAGCGAGACCTCTCGGTCCTAGGTCGAGGTTCGGTCCCTAGGCCGAGACCCGGTCCACGCTGAGGATTGTAGCCGGAAACGAACAGAGGGAAACGAAAGGGGCGAGTCAGACGCGAGAAGTGATGGGCGAGGGTTCGGTCCGAAGGGTCAGTAGCGAGGGTGGGGTTCGGTTCGGGAATAAGAGGCGAGAATGTCAGAACCGAACGGACTGTAGTGAACAGTAGTGAACAGTACCTTCGGTTCGGTTAGTGAACAGTACCTTCGGTTCGGTTCCTCTTGAGCAGGGTTCGGTTTCGGTTAGTGGTGAACAGTACCTTCGGTTCGGTTCCTCTTGAGCAAGGTTCGGTTTCGGTTAGTGGTGAACAGTACCTTCGGGTTCGGCTCAGGAGGGTTCGGTTCGGCTCAGGAGGGTTCGGTTCGGCTCCTCTTGCTCTCAGTCCCTAAGAGGACCTTCGGGTCCTAAGAAGTTTCTCTCTTGGTTTCGGTTCCTAATGTCTATTTTTCTCGTTTTTACCCCGTTTTAAGCTGTTTTTGACACGGTTAAGCGTCGGAATGACCCGAATGATTCTAAAAAGTTACGGGAACTATTTGAGAGAGATTCGGGAGAGGTTTCTCACACTTGGAGAGATTTGGGAGAGATTTGACATTCTTGGAGAGATTTCTCATACAAAGAGATATTTGCGAGAGTTTTCACATACTTAGAGGGATTTGGGAGAGATTTGACATTCTTGGAGAGATTTCTAATACAGAGAGATATTTGAGAGAGATTTCGCATACTTGGAGAGATTTGGGAGAGATTTGACATTCTTGGAGAGATTTCTCATACAAAGAGGTATTTGCGAGAGTTTTCACATACTTAGAGGGATTTGGGAGAGATTTGACATTCTTGGAGAGATTTCTAATACAGAGAGATATTTGAGAGAGATTTCGCATACTTGGAGAGATTTGGGAGAGATTTGACATAGAGAGAGAGAGTGTGGAAACGATTGAGAGAGGTTCCATGTGGGATAGTTGTGAGTGTCCGTCATCAAAATGCATGGTTCGTGAACCCTATTAAGCCTTGTTTAAGGATCTTACACACTCCCGATGAGTATGCAACATTGTTTTATCGGTCTAGTTCATTGATTAGAACTAGGGTTTAGGAAATTTTTAACACAAGACTTTTCTCAAGTGATGTTTTCCCATTAATATAGCAAGTTATACAGTATGAACATAACACAAACTCTAATACACAAGGTTTAATCGAGTTGACCGGTCTTGACTTGATGACTTAACTTGACTCAAGATTGACGATTGTCACAGCGTGACAAGATAACTATAACTTATACTTAGGTTGGAGGGAGTGGTGCAACAAAAATCACACTCTCTTCATTGTCACGTAAGCGTCATGTCAGCCTTTACCACAAAAATGTGGTTCATTGTCATACCCAATGAGTGGTGTCGTACTATTTTTAAGAATTTAATTTATTGACTTCATTTTTAATTAAAAAAAAATCATTACTTCAAAATAAAAAAATATTGCATTTCATTACTTAAAATAAAAAAATAACATGAAATTAAAAAACTCCTACAAACTTATAAAAAAATAAAAAATAATAATTAAAATAACTTATAAAATATACACAAATAAAATAACTTAAAAAATAAAAAACTTTATTAGTTATGGTGGTGTGGGAACAATGGCAAACCTATATTTTTTTTTTAATCTATAAAACAATTTATTTTTAATAAAAGACAAAATTACAAAAAAAATGTCATTGTGGTACGTATTTTTTTGGGTTTTAATCCAAACCCTGACTTTTTTGGTTTCGTGGTCATTTTGAGCTAGTTTGGTTGCGGATTTGGTCCCTTGGTAAACTAAAATGACTTTAATACTCTTGGGTATTTATTTTCTATTTCTAAAATCATTTTTTTTAAGTTTTAATAATTAATTATTTATTTTAATAATTAAAAAATGAAAGAGCTCTTTCTCTCTCTCTCACTCTATTTCTCCCCCTCCCTCTCTCTTTTGTCGTCCTTTTTACAAAACAAGAAATTAAAAATCAAGTAAAAAGTATTCACCCCTTTTATCTTCCGTTCTTCAAGAAACAATCAAACAGAAAACCAAAAAGATGTCTAGAATCATATCCATCAACAACAAGCATCTAACTTTTTTTTTTTTTTTTAAATAATCGTTCCTAGCATCATATATATTAACTCATACACCTCAAAATCATGTCATTGGGATGAACCCACCAGGCAAATTGATTATGCAACAACAATTAAAACCAAATTTCTCAAACTCATAGGGTACAACCAAATCCTGCGACTTAAGTATGTGTGTATGTGTGAGTGAGTTCGATGTGAAGACAATCAGGTAAAGATTCTGATTATCAAGCTTACCGGAGCTTTGATCTTGATCTCGTTCTCCCCCACCCCCTTTCTCAGGATTCTGATTATCGCCACCATCTTCATAAAAATAGCGGAGAAGACGAACCAGATCTTCAGCTCCATCATCGTCATTGCCACCACCACCGGAGAAGAAAAAACCTTAAACTCGTCACCGCTACCAGATCTGCAAACGAGATATTCGGATATGAAAACGAGGTCCTCATATCTGAAAATCATCATCTCCTTGAGCTTGTCTTCGCTAAAAGATAAGACCTACCAGGCGGCGATGGCATTAGGGCTTGCTTTAACAGGAGGAGCTTGTCATCCGAGGAGGAGATCGGAGACCCACACACTCAATCTGATTTTTTCTTCTTGAAGGTGTTCATCTGAAAATCCTTCATCAGATTTGATTTCGTGTGTGTGGAGAAGAAGGAGATGGTGGAGGTTAACAGAAAAATCAATCTACAGAAAAAGGAGGTGAAGGACACGTTGGTAGTGGCGGACGGTAGTTGAAGTGTGTATGTGTTCTTGAGTGTGTGTTCATGAATATGAATATGTGTTCTTAAGTTTGTATTTGCAGAGAGAGTGTGTGTTCATGAATGAGTTTGTATTTGCACAGAGAGAGAGAGAGAGAGAGAGAGAGAGAGCAGTGGCGGAGCCAGGATCAAAGTAAAGGGATATCCTAATTTTTTTTAGGGTAACCCAATTTTTTTCCCGGGGTGCTTGGGTTTCCCCGGTTCGGTTTCGGTTTTAAACCCAAATCTTAGTCGAATCCTTAGCTAACCTCAAGTCTTGTTATATAAACATGAAGTTGAAGTATATTTTGATACTTGAATCGATGTGAGACTTACATGTGTTTAGCGATGTGGGATTTAATAACTGGGAAAATATAACAAAAGTAAACAAAGAATATGTAAGAAGCAAGAATTGATCTTGAGACCTTTACTTCAATAAGCTAATGCCTTAACCAGCAAACCAACTGTTTGTTTGTGTTTATAAGTGGAGGGATGCGTATATATACACTATACCGATTTTTTTAGGGATACGTAAACAAAAATTAAACTACCGAAATTTTTTTGAGGGGTATCCCGGGATCCCCTTGGATCCGCCCTTGAGAGAGAGAGAGAGAGAGAGAGAGAGGTGGGCCCGACTTTTTATATTATTAAAATAATTTTTAAAATAAATAAATAACTATTAAATTTTAGAAAAGCGAAAGAAAAATGAAAAATAAATACTCTAAGGGTATTAAAGTCATTTCAGTTTATCGAGGGACCAAATCTGCAATGAAACTAGCTTAAAAGGACCACGAAACCAAAAAAATCGGGGTTTAGACTAAAACCCAAAAAAATACATAACACAAAAACCATTTTTGCAATTTTGTCTTAATAAAAAACATAGACCTCAATATTTGTCATATTTTGTTCAATATACTACACTAATTTAAATTAACAAAAAATTAAAAATTAAAAGTGTAAAAAAACAAAACACAAGAAAATAGAAATACTCCCTAATTTGTTTGGAGTATACATGTGTTTTGCAGCCTATTTAATAGTTTTAAAACAGCCCAATTAAATTAAAAATAAGAATGTTAACGTAATAAAGAGAGAAGAAAGTGCGGTTTAAACCGCACAGGTGTTCTCCATTGACATAAACCGTAGGGGAGACCACACCCACTCCCACAGTCTTATGGAGCTTAATTATTATTATTAAAAGATGGAAGTAATGCGCACTCAGAAGAGAAGCGCGTAGGATTTAAACACTAGCTTTTGGTGCATGAGATCATGACGCAACCACAGAGCGCGTGGAAAGAAAAAAAGGTTTGTCGGCCCAAACGTCAGTTTTCCCTGTAACTTACTACCCCCAATAAATCCTCAACTCCACTCTCTCCGTCGGTCCTCATTTTCATTTTAGGGTTTTTACCCCTTCTTCTTCGTCGTTCTTTGTGTGAATTTCGTCGTTCTTCGTCACAAAGTAGTCCTTACTTTGTGATTTTGTTCTCTGGTTGTTGTTTTTCAGGTTCTAGGCTGGTGATCTAGATTTCGAAACAAGGGTTCTCTCTGAGTTTCAGGTATAATTACTTTACTATTGTGAAGGATTTTTTGATCGTTTTTTCTGTTGTGCATGGTGTTTTCTGACTAGTCTGGTTCTCTTTCACATTTTTACTAAATTTTTGAGTTAGTTTAATTTTGATTTTTTTGATTTTACTTTTGATGGTTCCATTTTTTGATTTTATAAAGAAGTTTTCGGTCATAGTCCCCTGCAATTTCTAGATTACTTTTCCGATTTGGATGGAGTAGAAATACATTAATATTTATGGTATTGGTTTCGTAAATGTACCAAATACTTGATTAGTGAAAGGGGTTTTCAGATTTCGCTGTTATATTGTGTATACCTTTGCCATTTTTTAAAGAATCTGCTGAACTAAAAGTGTATTTATAATTATTTGTGATTTTATAAAAAACGAGCAGGAGTGGTTTGTTTAGTTTGCTGTTATTTGTCGATAATCAAAAGGGGTTTCAGATTTGCTGAATTAAAAGTTCATTTGTATTTTTGTTCCTGATTTTGTTGATGTTCCAAGTAATTGATTGGTTTATTTGTTGTCATTTATTGTTTTTTGAAAGGAGTTTCATGATTCATGGTTTAATAATTTTTTGTACATTCATCTTTCTGAAGGAAACGGTGGTACAAAAGTACTATGTACTTTTTTGTTGATATTTGAAATAAATTTTGAAATATTGGCTCTGTATTATATGTATTCATATCATTTTTGGTGGATTAGAAGTACATTTGTGTTTATGCTCTTGATTTTCTTTAAGTGACAAGAGTTATCAGTTTATTTTCTCAAAATATGAAAATTTTGGAAGGATTTTTTAGTATATGGCTTTTATGTTCAGTGTTTGTCTGGTCATTTATGTTATTATTTAAGTACAATCATCAAGTATTTTCTGGCCTAACAATGTTGTCTTACTAATTTGCTATTTCATTCTACTTGAGTGATTCTTTATGATGAATGATGATGCTAACTTGTTCTGTTGTTTGTAGTATCCAAAAATGGATCCAGAAAATGGAAATGGTGATGCTTTGCCACCTCCGCCACCTGTCCCAGAAGATGTTGTTCCAATAAAAGCGGAGCCTGAGAAAAAGAAGGTGATGAGGGTGCCCATGGGGAGGCGTGGTCTTGCCACCAGAGGCAACAAAGTCCAGCTGTTGACCAACCATTTCAAAGTCAACGTCTCTAATGTTGATGGACACTTCTTCCACTACAGTGTATGCTATTATTATTTTTTTTGTTACTTTTATAAAAGTACTAATTGGAGCTAAGCATTTTTTAGTTTGTCTTTCTTTTAACCAAAAAAAAACTTGCTGAAAATGAGACATTTCTCATCCAGTCATTAACATTTTACAAAATTTCTCTCTTTTAGTATTTTCTTCTTCCTCCAATATATTTTGAACATAATTTATCCAAAAAGAAGCACCTTGTGTTTCTCTTTGACTGGCAGCTTTCTCCATTAGGTCCGAACTTTATACATAATTTTCATCACTTATTTTTCCATTCTTTTCGAAATATTTTCTTAAATATTGTAATGTCCAGAAAACACTTAATGTGTGTTTTGGTGACTAGATGCAAAAAAAGAATGACTTAATTAGGAAAGTCATGCAAATGAGGCTTTCCCTTTTGGTTGCTAACATTTTTTAAAGAATGACTTAATTAGGAAAGTCATGCAAATCTGAAAAGAATTTTATGGGCGTGTCTTTTCGACTTAATACAGAAAGAATGACTTTCTTTATTCTGGAAAATGAGGTACCCGATATATCATATGACTTAATTAGAAAGAATTTTATGGGTGTCCAAACTTTTACAAAATTGGCCTCATTTATTTTTCCCTTCCTTCACAAATGTTTTTTTAAAGATCATCTATATATCATATGACTATTACTTGAAATTAATACCTTTACTTGGACCTAAAACTTCCATTACTTTAAACTTTATCAAGTGTTTTTTTAGACATTTGGTCTATAGTCAAAACTACATCTTTCAAGTAACTTACCTAGCCAAAACTGCATATCTGTTACAAGTCTTGTAGCTTTAGATCATTTTTCTTGGTTTAAAGATTCTTTCAAGTGGTGAATTACAATTACTTAAAAAAGTCTTAAATTTATACCAAACAGGTGGCACTTTTTTATGAGGATGGACGCCCAATAGATGGAAAAGGCATAGGAAGAAAAGTGCTTGATAGAGTCCACGAAACATATGGTTCTGAGTTAGCAGGAAAGGAGTTTGCTTATGATGGTGAAAAAAGTCTGTTTACTGTTGGAGCTCTTCCAAGGAACAAACTTGAATTCACTGTTGTACTTGAAAATGTCACTTCTAATCGGTATGTATTGCATGATGTTTTACGTTACTAATCTGTTATATATATATATATATATATATATATATAATCTTATGAATATGATAATGCTCAGTAACAATGGAAATGCAAGCCCTGGAAGCCCTGACAATGACAAGAAGAGAATCAGGCGTTCGTATCAATCAAAGACTTTCAAAGTGGAGCTGAGTTTTGCAGCCAAAATCCCAATGCAGGCAATTGCACAGGCTTTAAGAGGACAGGAATCTGAAAACTCCATGGAAGCTTTAAGGGTGCTTGATATCATCTTAAGACAACATGCAGCAAAACAGTAAGTTGTCACTTATATATTGACGTTTGGTTAATTAATTTAAGTAAGAAAGGTCAGAGTAACAAAATGTATTTTTACCCATGATTGCTATGTAATTGCATTTCTTTATTGATAACAGCAGTGCACTTTATTCTTTAACCAATAATACTAACATGCATGTATCTTTTTACACCAAAATGGCATAGTAGTTACATTTTGCTACAAATTTTTCTTACTCATAATGTAACATGCTGTTGATATTAATTTACTTTATCTTTTACCTCCTATAGGGGGTGTCTGCTTGTTCGACAATCTTTTTTCCACAACGATGTGAAGAATTTTGCTGATGTTGGAGGAGGTGTTCTCGGCTGCAGAGGATTCCATTCCAGTTTCCGCACATCTCAGGGTGGTCTATCCCTCAACATCGGTAAAAATCTGGTTACTCTTTTCCATTTTTACCCCTGAAGTGAAGGTGTTAGTTAACCATGGTTTATGATTATCAGATGTGTCTACTACCATGATCATCCAGCCTGGGCCGGTGGTTGATTTTCTGATTGCAAATCAAAATGTGAAAGATCCCTATTCTGTTGACTGGGCAAAGGTAACAAACCGTAATGTTCTCATTTCCCGAGGGGCTAGTTTGTAAATTGTTGCTAAAAGCTTGTGTGGTGTGGTGTCAATCAGGCAAAGCGTACACTGAAGAATCTGAGGGTGAAAACCAGCCCTACCAATACTGAGTACAAGATAACTGGTTTGAGTGAGAAGCCTTGCAATCAGCAGCTGTATGTTTTCTTTTTTATGTTATATGTTTTGGTATGATTGGAATCATAGAAGGAATGGAATGGGTGATTCCATAGGAATGAAAAAAAATAACCCTTCTGTTTTCCTCAATGGAGTGGAGTTGATCATTCCTGAACCAATGTGATCCTTTCCATCTATGTTATTTTAATGACATTGTTTTTTTAATACAAAGAAAAAAAATACGGTTTTTATTGCAATTACATAAATGGAAAGTTTTGGCGAGTTGATCTTGGAATTTCATTCCTTTGTCATTCTATTCCAACCAACCAAACAGATCCTCATAGGTTCAAAAAAACTTGAGATCAGCTAAATTAGTGAACTTTTTTTTCAGGTTTTCGTTGAGGCAAAAGTCAAAAGATGAGAATGGTGAATTCGAGACTTTGGAAGTTACTGTTTATGACTATTTTGTGAATTATCGCAAGATCGAATTGAGGTATTCTGGTGAACTTCCATGTGTGAATGTTGGGAAGCCTAAAAGGCCAACTTTCTTCCCTCTTGAGGTACAACACAATGGGGCTCTATCTCAATGTGGGCCCACAGTTGTCATAACATGTTCTTCTAATGGCTTTTCTTAGTCTTACTATATGTGGTGGTGGTGATTTGTTGTAGCTGTGTTCATTGGTCTCTCTGCAACGCTATACAAAAGCACTCAACACAATGCAAAGATCCTCTTTGGTGGAGAAATCCAGACAAAAGCCTCAAGAAAGAATGAAGGTTTTAACCGATGTACGTACACTACACTTTTTAAACTTCAAGGTGGTTTTTATTTGTTACTTTTAAGAACAGGATTCTGAATTTTTGCTTTGTGTATTTTGAAGGCACTATCACTCAATAAGTATCATGAGGAACCTTTGTTGAAATCATGTGGGATTTCAATAAGCAACAGCTTTACACAAGTGGAAGGCCGTATTCTTGCAGCCCCTAAGGTACTTTATTTTTTTATTTTTGATGGATTAGAATTATAAATTTTTTAAAATTTTGGTATTGCTGTTACCTTGATGCAGTTGAAAGTGGGTAATGGTGAAGATTTCTTCCCGAGAAATGGTCGCTGGAATTTTAACAACAAAGTATGTTTCTTTGATTTTTTTCAACTGTTATATGAATCTTTTTCTTGAAACTGACATTATTTCTGAAAAAAACATGTTTTGATGTGATGATATAGAAACTTGTGGAGCCCACGAAAATCGAAAGATGGGCTGTTGTGAACTTCTCTGCTCGCTGCAACATTCAGAGCTTAGTGAAAGATCTGATAAAATGTGGAGGATTAAAAGGAATCGTATGTTCTCATTATATTATTGTTGGGTTAGAAATGTTTTAAGTAACTAACATGGTGTTGATTCCAATGTGTAGAAAATTGATGAGCCTTTTGATGCGTTTGAGGAGAGCCCACAAAACAGGAGGGCCCCACCTCTTGTTAGGGTAGAGAAAATGTTTGAAATGATAATGTCGAAGCTTCCTGGGGCCCCACAGTTTCTACTCTGTTTGTTACCTGAGAGAAAGAACTCTGATCTTTATGGTGATTCATCTACATTTATGTTTTATTATTTATTTTTGGAAAATTTAATCTATCTATATGTGTTGATGAAATGTGTTTTGGTAGGTCCATGGAAGAAGAAGAATCTGGCTGATTTTGGTATAGTGACCCAATGCATAGCTCCTATGAGAGTCAATGATCAGTACCTAACAAATGTCCTGCTTAAGATCAATGCTAAGGTGAATACACTTGAAACAAAAATAACAGGTCAAATGCTGGAAATAGCAATTGATTTGTGTATTATATCCCTGAAAAATCTTTCCTTTTATAAAGATTCAATCAAATTTCAATTCAGTTTTCGCTACTATATTTAGATAGATTTTTCAAAGCCCATTGTCCTAAATAGGAAACAAATTGAAGGTACAATGCCTTGTTTATATAATTGGGTGGATTTTTCAAAAGCAAAAATGTAAGCAACAAATATATCTAAAGTGCAATGCTGGTAATAAAGAGAATATAAAAGTAGGATGCTGTAATATACAAATAGTTAAATGTATGTTGCTATTTCTTGCATTTAGCCCGAAATTTGTAAGTTCACTTATTCAAAACCCCACTTGGAAAAATGCAAGAAATAACGTTCTAGTTTGATTGGTTTGCTTAACATCCTGCTTTCATTTCTTCCTGTTACATCAATGTCATCCAAAGAAACTTTTGAGTGTTATAATCATGTAGATTTTTCAAATAATAAACAAAAAAGAGAAGTAGGAAGCTTTAATACTAAAATATACATAAAAGTGTAGGTTGCTGTTTCTTAGCCCAAAAAAGAAAAGATTAAATTTGATTTTTTGTTTATTTGTGCATGCAGCTTGGGGGTCTTAACTCAATGTTATGTGTGGAACATTCTCCTTCCCTTCCACATGTTTCCAAGGCTCCCACAATCATTCTGGGCATGGATGTGTCTCATGGGTCACCTGGCCAATCTGATATTCCATCTATTGCAGCTGTAACTATTTTTATTTCTCAAATTTATATTTATTTATGGGAATGTTTTAATAAAGATCCTTTCTTTGTTTTTTTTTACTGACAGGTTGTTAGTTCCCGACATTGGCCTTTGATCTCCCGTTATCGAGCTTCTGTGAGAACTCAATCTCCAAAGGTGGAGATGATTGATTCCCTGTTCAAGAAAGTTTCTGACACTGAGGATGAAGGCATAATGAGGTTCATTCCCTTGTTTCTATTTGTTAATTTATTATACATAATAAAGAGTTTGATGTTTGAGATTTCACATCACATTGCAAGCAAATCATGAGGGTTTTTTTTTTTTTTTTTTTTTTTTTTTTTGTGGCAGGGAGCTTCTCCTTGACTTCTATACGAGTTCTGCAAAACGTAAGCCAGATCAGATAATCATCTTCAGGTGAATTCTTTGGCTTGTAGCATGTCTCATTTTAAATTGTATATTTAAGTTTTAAATATTTATGTCATTTTCTTTAAAAAAAGAGGTGAAGTCGTTTTGATTTTGCTGTAAAAAGGTCAAACCTTAAACAAGGTATTTTTAGACATTGGTAACATTAAGATTACTCCTGTCCTGATAATTTAAATTTTTATTATTTGTTATATTATAATAATAGGGACGGTGTCAGCGAGTCGCAGTTCAACCAGGTTTTGAACATTGAACTGGACCAAATTATCGAGGTATTTGTATTTCTTATAAAATGGACATATATATATATATATATATATATATATATATATATATATATATATATATATATATATATATATATATATATATATATATATATAAAATATTTGTAGTTATGGGATTTGATTTAAATATGGTAATGGTGATGGTGTGGTAGGCCTGCAAGTTCCTAGATGACAAGTGGAACCCAAAATTTCTTGTGATAATTGCTCAGAAGAATCACCACACCAAGTTTTTCCAGCAAGGATCTCCAGATAATGTTCAACCTGGTAACTAAGTCTATATGATTATGTTTACTTAAATAGAGATGATTTAAAAGTTGCTTTTTTATTTGTATTTAATTATGTCATTGTTTCCATTATTATAACAGGAACTGTGATAGATAACAAGGTCTGTCATCCTCGCAACAATGACTTCTACATGTGCGCACATGCTGGCATGATTGTAAGCAACACAAACTCTTTCTTTCTTTCTTTGTCAAATTCAAGTTACATGCTTTTGTTTGGCTTTAAAAAACAATAGTTTTTATCATTGGGATTGCAATTGAATAAAATAAAATGAAATAAAATATTTGAACAGGGGACAACCAGGCCCACTCATTACCATGTTCTGTACGATGAAATTGGCTTCTCGGCTGATGATCTCCAGGAGCTTGTCCACTCCCTCTCCTATGTGTAAGTCTCCTTCCTTCCTTCCATAATTATTTAATATTATGAAAATCATTTTATTTTTATTATTTTTTAATTTTGAATTGTTGTTATTATTATTAATTATTACAGTTACCAGAGAAGCACTACTGCCATATCTGTTGGTAAGTTGAAGTATTTTTGAAGTTGTAAATGAGTAAAAAACAGTGGTAATTGTAGTAATAATGAATGGTTGGTTTTATGCAGTTGCACCAATTTGTTATGCACATTTAGCAGCCACTCAGATGTCTCAGTTCATGAAGTTTGAAGACCACTCAGAGACATCCTCCAGCCATGGCGGCACCGGGGTCACATCAGCTGGAGCAGTGGCGGTTCCTCAGCTGCCAAAGCTTCAGGAGGCAGTTGCAAACTCCATGTTCTTCTGCTAAGCTAAACTAAATGTTTGTTTCTCTGTCAGACTTTTAAGTAGTAGTAAGTTGTTAATCATGTGTGGATAGGATGTGGTTAAGGCCTGTTTGTTTGTTTGTTTGTATGTATGTATGTGAATGAAGAAATGTTAGGATAGGATGATGTTTGCTGGGACTTAGACTGTGGTCGATAACTCTGACTTATGATGTTTTTTGGATGTATGCATGCATGCTTATGCTTGTTTTGGTTGGATCTAAATAGTTCGCCATCAACTTCTATACAATCATCATCTTCACCCAAATCAAGATCATCGTACATTCATTTTACCATCAAACTTTGCCTTCTCCCTTTTTAGCATATATACCCTTGTTTCTTCCTTCAAATGTTTGGCACATTGTTACACCCCTCCCTTGTATATGTTACCACAGAAATTGTAAGTTTATATGTTCCTATTATGAGGATATTGAGTTCCGTGTTTTCTACCTGGATCACAACTTGATGTTGAAAGAGGGGGTGGTTGTGGATGAACTAAAAGAAAGATATAAACCAACAATATTCAGTAAAGTAATTATAAAAAAAACAATAGTAAAATTAAGTCATCAACAAGTCAAAAAAAAAAAAAAAGAACGTAGTGTATAGCAATTAGCAAAAATCGGAATATATTATGTATAGTGTTAATTTGTTGTAGTCTAATTGCAGCAAAATCATCAACAATTAGTCAGTTACAACTTACAAGAATTTAAACAAGTATTACAGCTAAAAAAATCAGGAATCTACATCAGCAATAATTATAAGAATCAGCAACATTTGCAAGCAAAAATTAACGATAATTACAAGAGTGAACGTGAAACAAGCTAAAAACAACTCACTTGGGAATCTACATCAGGGGATTCTACCAATAAACAAGTCATTTTTATGGTTCAGCCTCTATCACCATCAAGTTTCAGAAACATCAACCTCAATTTCTCATTGAGCGTTGTGAGTCAATTTTGGTGACCTTGGGTGCTTGTGAAGAAAGAAGAAGCATCCGGAAAGATTTTGACGTTTCTTGGCTGAAGTCTGGACCTTTGTAAGTCTCCAAGTTTCTTGCTTTATGACTTAAAGTGCTTAGATCTTGAATATTGTCCCATCTTTTTAATGCTTGAGCAAGTTTTTATTTTTTTTTATTATATTTATTTTTTTATTTTTTTTAAGGAAGGAACTTATAAACAAGTCATTTTTATGGTTCAGCCTCTATCACCATCAAGTTTCAGAAACATCAACCTCAATTTCTCATTGAGCGTTGTGAGTCAATTTTGGTGACCTTGGGTGCTTGTGAAGAAAGAAGAAGCATCCGGAAAGATTTTGACGTTTCTTGGCTGAAGTCTGGACCTTTGTAAGTCTCCAAGTTTCTTGCTTTATGACTTAAAGTGCTTAGATCTTGAATATTGTCCCATCTTTTTAATGCTTGAGCAAGTTTTTATTTTTTTTTATTATATTTATTTTTTTATTTTTTTTAAGGAAGGAACTTATAAACAAGTCATTTTTATGGTTCAGCCTCTATCACCATCAAGTTTCAGAAACATCAACCTCAATTTCTCATTGAGCGTTGTGAGTCAATTTTGGTGACCTTGGGTGCTTGTGAAGAAAGAAGAAGCATCCGGAAAGATTTTGACGTTTCTTGGCTGAAGTCTGGACCTTTGTAAGTCTCCAAGTTTCTTGCTTTATGACTTAAAGTGCTTAGATCTTGAATATTGTCCCATCTTTTTAATGCTTGAGCAAGTTTTTATTTTTTTTTATTATATTTATTTTTTTATTTTTTTTAAGGAAGGAACTTATAAACAAGTCATTTTTATGGTTCAGCCTCTATCACCATCAAGTTTCAGAAACATCAACCTCAATTTCTCATTGAGCGTTGTGAGTCAATTTTGGTGACCTTGGGTGCTTGTGAAGAAAGAAGAAGCATCCGGAAAGATTTTGACGTTTCTTGGCTGAAGTCTGGACCTTTGTAAGTCTCCAAGTTTCTTGCTTTATGACTTAAAGTGCTTAGATCTTGAATATTGTCCCATCTTTTTAATGCTTGAGCAAGTTTTTATTTTTTTTTATTATATTTATTTTTTTATTTTTTTTAAGGAAGGAACTTATAAAGTCGGCAACTTTATGACTCTCATGAGTCCATGAGCAACATATATTGTAGATATAGGTTTTGGTTAAGGGTTCTTGATCTTACAAGAGTTTTGGTTATTTTTAGCTCATTTTGACGTAAAATGGATTCTAGACATGTATTGGTATGCATGTCCGTAAAGTTTCCACATTTGTGTTAGTTGTAACGCCTGTTTTCTAGGATGGATCGATTTAGATTTTCAAGGAGTCAAAAGGTCACATTTTGGAAGAAATGGAGCCTCACAACGTGAGTTTTGGGTGGTCACAACATGACATAGGTCATTATGGAAATTTTGTTCGGGACTGATCTCACGACGTGACTCATGACGTGAGAACTGGTGCATCCCAAGCCTTTGATCATTTACGGTTTCCTTCGTATTGAAGTCTTTCTAAACCCATTTTAGGGTTCATTATCAGCCTCCAAACCCACTTTCACCTCAGAAAAACCCTGACCTTCATCCCTTGTTTGATTCTTGGCCATTTTGGAAGCATTTCTTGGTTCGAAGAAGAAGAAAAAGAATATGAACTTTTGAAGAGGCTTGCAAGGAATCATTACTATCATCACCTCACATTGTTTCTAGACCCTCGTAAGGTGTTGTTTGTTTTTTAAGTTGAACCACTTCTTGATGCACTGCACAACACACGCACATTACTTGACCTTTAGCAACTGTTTGTTTTTCTGGAAAACTTCTAACTTAAAAATTGTTGCACGTGTGCTGCGTGGCGTAACACTAAACCATTCTCTTCAAACCACTTCTCACTTACTTTAAGTTATATTATTCAACTTAGATTTGTTTAATTTTTTTTTTCAACATGTTTATTATTTTAATAATATCTGAAGAATATGTAAACAATTTTAGTATATTTTACTTGATTTCAAATAATTTCAAAACCCTTTGGTAAATTTCATATAAATATTTTTTATGTTATATTGTCTATAACTAAATATTAATAAATTATAAAGTTTATCATTAAACTTTATATTATCATTAAATATTTTTTATGTTATATTATCAAAACCCTTTGGTAAATTTCATATAAATATTTTTTATGTTATATTGTCTATAACTAAATATTAATAAATTATAAAGTTAATCATTAAAATTACCAGATTTATTGAAGTTAACTGGGAAAATGATCATCTTCTTCAATATTTTAACAAAAATGAAAATGTTTTTAGCTAAATTAACAATTTATTTATTGTTATTTAGAAAAATTTATGTTTAATTCTTTTATGTAAACCTCTTTAAAAATCATATTATCACAATGATCTTTATATTTGATTTGCATATGATTAAACTAAATAGATTTTTTGCTTGGATTTATTTTTAACTATTGTATAGTTAATTTTAGTTTATTGCAACAGTTTGCAAAGATTAAAAAACAAACAGACTTCTTATTACAGGTTGTAGCCATTTGGTCCACCTCCTCTACAACATAGGGTTGCAGATGTGGTCTGTAGATTTCAATCGTTTTCGCTTTGAATGAATAGAAACCATAAAGTTGGAAACTTTACAGGTCATAAGGGTCTTAAGAGTGTCATGAAGTTCGGATCTAGTGAATAATTAGGTTTTGAACCTTTGCATGAAAGTTCGATGATCTTTTCCTCAATTCTAGACATGTATTGGACATACATGCCCATGAAGCATTGACTTTTAAGTGTATTGTGGAATAAGACCTTCTGGAAAGTTAGAGTGAAAGGATTAATGGATTAAACACTTAAATGGTTGGATTTTGACTTTATACTGTGATCACGATGTGAGGGTTGAATGACTTCGTTTTCTGTTAAGCTCTTTATAGCTCACGGCGTGAGAAGGATGCTCACATCGTGAGGTCAGCTCAGGTGATTTTTTTGACTAAGTTGGCTAGGTTGGGTCGAGACGAGTTGGAATCAGATAGAGTGGACTCTCATGACGTGACCAAGGTCGTCACGACGTGAGACTAGATAGTTGACATTAAGGGTTATTGACTTTGACTTTAGTTGACTTCTGTTAACCGTTGGAATTTTTTACCAAGTTTGACTTTTAGTCAAACTTGAGGATTTTGGACTATTGATTAAGATTTTTATCTGGTTTTGGTGTTAGTGGATTCACGGTGCAAACAATACAGAAAAAGGGATCATATCACAGTGTTTCATAGTTCTTCGATTCAGGTGAGTTTTTCCTCATTGTACGTACTTGTAGATCGAAGGTACCAATGTCGCCCCATTAGGTTATGTATCCCGGTATAGAAGATGTTGCTATTTTGTAGTGATATGTTAGATCTATGTCCTGTTATATAGGATGTTGTTGTGCGGTAGTGATCTGTAGATCTGCATATTTGTCTGATTGGTTATATGATTATCTGTTTGCTAGAAATATGTTATTTGTTATGTATATATTGACATAATATGGTTGGGTTGAGGCAATCCTACTCTGTGCGAGTAACTCTCCGTTCCTGGTACGTATTTAATCCATTTAAATGTTCATTTTATAAGAGCTACTCGACGAGTTGGTAGCCCTAACTCGTCGAGTAGATGCCAATTTGATCGCAGGGTTTAAGTGGACTACGAGTTAGAACATTTAAGAGACTCATCGAGTAGGAAGATGAATCGACGAGCTGAGTTGACTGGGGTTGACCTTGACTTGACTTTGACCAGAGCGTTGACTTTGATTAAGGGTAAAATGGTTATTTTTCCCTAGGAAGGAGTTTCAGATATTGACTATGTGTTATTGTGTTTTGATAGCTGGAGGGACGCCGAGGCAGTTACCGGATATTCCTCACCGCAAGATTTCATAGTCAGCTTTACGAGGTGAGTTTTCATCCAATAGGAACAGGTCTAAGGCAACAATGTCGGCCCGTATAAGTAGTAGAGTGTATCGGGGTAAGGCCGATGTCGGGGTTAGCCTGATGCCGTTTATATGTTTCCGAACATCGGTCCGATGTCGAGGTGGTCCCGCGAAGTAGTTATGTATGCCTGATGTATTTGTGATTCATGCATGGTTATGTGTTATGTGTTATATGTTCCGGACTCCGGTCTGACGTCGGGCAAGCCCGATGCAGTATATGTGTTTATGTTATATGTTATGTGTTCTGGGGTAAGCCCGATGCCGAAGCAATCCCGATGTATGTTAGTCATTATCCCATGTATTATGTATTCAGG